TACACAATAAGGGCCAGTTAAAGTAGTACCAAGTAAAGATCAAGTATATACAGTATACACAATAAGGGCCAGTTAAAGTAGTACCCAGTAAAGACCAAGTATATATACACAATAAGGGCCAGTTAGTACCCAGTAAATGCCAAGTATATATACACAATAAAAACTAGTTACAGTAGTACTCAGTAAAGATCAGGTATATTTACACAATAAAGACTAATTACAGTAGTACCTAGTAAAGATCAGCTATATATACAAAACAAGGGACAGTTAAAGTAGTACCCAGTAAAAACCAAGTATATATACACAATAAGGGCCAGTTAGTATCCAGTAAATACCAAGTATATATACACAATAAAGACTAGTTACAGTAGTACCCAGTAAAGATCAGTTATATATAAACAATAAGRACCAGTTAAAGTAGTACCCAGTAAGGACCAAGTATATATACACAATAAGGACTAGCTAGTACCAATTTATACTCAATATAGACCTTATTGTATATAGGTATATATACAATAAGGACCAGTTAGTATGCAATAAGGACCAGGTATAAACCCCATTTGTATCAAATATTGACCAGCTATATATACAATAAGAACCAGGTATGAACTCAGTACATACCCAATATAAACCAGGTWAACACGAGATAAGGACTAGGTACATACCCAGTAATTACTAGATACATACCCTGTTTGTACCTGGTGTTGACTGCTTATGTGCCCTGTAAATACCAGGTATAGCATGTACCTGATACTTGATACACATTCTGTACCTATGGGAACCAAGCTGTAATATGGTGGTACTTGACATCCTGTACGTACCCTGTAGGGACCAGATACATACTGTTTACCTACCTTTTTAAACCTGGGGCATTATGTATTTTTTATGGCTGAGGAGCCTAAAACTGACAGGATTTCTGGTAGTTTGTAGCAGAGAAGAGATTAGCAAGCAGTCCAGGTACCTGGGTAATGCAGCTCATCGAGTTACAAAGATGAGCTTTCAAAGCAAAATAAACCCAAATGAGAACGAGGAATCCAAGAAAAAGGCTTTTAAAAATAGAAGCAGACAGGAATTAGTCGAGCCAGCAGAAATAGATGGTTTAGGAAACGTTTCATCTTTTTTTCCCCCCAGCGTTTGTCAGAAATGAGCTTCTTTATGTTTAATAAAATGCAGACTCTTCTAAAAAAGCTTTATAGCCCTAATCTGCATYTTCACCTCCTTTCAAGAGTCGGATTAAAAACAACTAAAACATCCTGGATTATTTTATTTAACCAAGAATTCTGGGAAAGCTGAGAATCAGCTGAGGAACATCTGAGCACAGAGCTGTGTCAGCCTGCCTTCAGGCTTCAACACTCCAGATGTGAGAAAATAAAAAACTGCCAGGGAACCAGTTTTTGCAGCAGCCTGAGCAGCAAATACAGGAAATCTCTGTATCRTGCCTGAAAGTTTACTAAATCAAATCAGCAGGACAGATAAAATAAGCCTTTATTCTGTGCTATTGATTTTTATTTAGCTTTGGGACGCTGAGTCATTAACTGCTGCAGCTCCACTAAAGCAAATGAATATTTAGCTCTTGGATTGTTTTGCAGTGTTTGGTAGCTTTATAACTAAAATAACATGCATGTAATGTTTACCAATGGCTTTATAATGAAACCTTTCTTTCTGAAAATAAATAAATAAATTTTCGTCTGAAATAATCCTTCCTGTTATACTTTGAGACAGAACAGCTCCAAACCCATCGTCACACGCTGCTATATAAACCAGATTTTACAGTAAATGTATAACTTTGTGTCTTTTCTATCATCAACTATTCATAACCGTACCCCAGCCGTTTCCAGGTTTTCATGCATGGATGCTTTTTATTTTTGCCTTCGCTAAGGGAAAGTGTGACAGAAAAATCTGGGGGTAAAAGGACTACATCCATCGACAGGACCCAGCTGGAACCAGGGCTCTGTTTTCTGTTTTCTGTCAGTTTTACGGCATCGAGAAAAGACGCCGACACGTTCAGGACACGAGGCTTCCTCTCCAGCAGGTTATTAAAACAACCTCTGAATCTGGAGATTAGAGGTTCCWCTGTGAAAAGGGGAGGTGTGATCTGGGCGAGCTTCCAAGTAGAACTCCAAAATCGAGTCAAAACACCACAGCGTCTCAGTGTGAAACAGCTGGCAGCACTTCGTCTCTCGGTTTGGCAGTTAAAGCATGAGTAAGCGTGCTGCTAATTTTAACCGACTACCTGCGTTGTTTTTGATCCACGAGGAGGAAAAAACGAGCCGCATTGTGAGCGCAGACACRCTTCTTGAAAGTTGCAAACGGTTGCATAATCAAAACAGAACGTYTCTTCTTGACGGATTCTGCTTTTTAAATATTTGACGTGCTCCTGTCTCGAGCCTTTATCTCGTGTATTTCCTGAAAAGTGACATCGTTTAAATATGCAGAGCGATCACATGTTTGGGTAAAAAAAGCAAGTAACGGTAAACTTTTGATTCATTTATAGTTTACAGCCAGATTTCAGCCTGATATCATCATACTGGAGGGAGGTAGACCTTGTGGACCAGTGTGGGGTCTGCACAACATTTAGATATCTGGAGTCCACATTTGGGATTAGGGATCTGACTCAAGAAGGTCCACCAGCACCTGTACTTCCTTAGGAGGCTGAGACAGAAGAACTCAACCACCCAGTGCTGTCTGTTTTCTAAGGATGTGCAGTGGAAAGCAAACTTACAATCACGTCACCTCCTGGTCCAGTAGMTGTGCCACGCTGACAGCAGGAGGGGCAAAGGCTGCCCAGAGGAGCAGCTTCCTTTCACTGGAGGCAGGCTTTTAGATACAGGGGTGTTGTTTCAAAGCCCTCTTAAACATAAAGCCCTGGTTTTGCAATGCCCTCTCCTAGTTTTTTTTCAATTTCCAATTTTGCGATGCCCCACTTCCGTGCAATGACGCCTTCAGGTTACTGTGTTGATTTTTCATGTTTGCTGAGACTGAACAGACTTTTTTCTGTATGAGACGTAGCTTTTGCTCCCAAACATACAAGATAGGTCTACTAGCCAATCAGAATGAGAGTGGGGGTGGGCTTTGGGTCTTGGTAAACTTTGATTCAGATCCAGCAGCGAGCGTGCACTTAGCAAGGACTGCAGCAACCTATTCTTATTCCCAACTTGTCACATATTGACGCTTAGTCAGGTACTGTCTGCGTCCAGTTTGGTCAGGTACCATCTGCGTCCAGTTTGGTCAGGTACCGTCTGCGCCCAGTTTGGTCAGGTACCATCTGCGTCCAGTTTGGTCAGGTACCATCTGCGCCCAGTTTGGTCAGGTACCGTCTGCGTCCAGTTTGGTCAGGTACTGTCTACATCCAGTTTGGTCAGGTACCGTCTGCGTCCAGTTTGATCAGGTACTGTCTACGTCCAGTTTGGTCAGGTACCATCTGCATCTTGTTTGGTCAGGTACAGTCTGCGTCCAGTTTGGTCAGGTACCGTCTGCGTCCAGTTTGATCAGGTACTGTCTGCGTCTAGTTTGGTCAGGTGCCTTCTGCATCCAATTTGGTCAGGTACCATCTGCATCTTKTTTGGTCAGGTACAGTCTGCATCCAGTTTGGTCAGGTAMCGTCTGCATCCAGTTTTGGATGCTTCAGGTACCCCCCTCGCGTCAGTTATTAATGAGATGAGATGGAGGAGGAGTGCATTGTCATATATTTGAAAAGAGTAGGAAATGCACAACAGCTAACCATCGCAGAACCTAAATTGAACCTTTATTAGCCGTATACAGCCTATCCCTGACCTCAGTACCTAAAATTAAYCATTAATCATGATCCCTCATATTAACCATAGACCCCCAACCCAAAGAMCCCTATGTGGCGCAACCCGGAAAGGCCGCGGGTGTCATTAACTGGACACAGATAATACCCGACCAAGGGTCAATACAGTGATGAGTTGGGAATGAGAGCTGACTGCAGACGCAAAGAATAAACTCTGACAGGCTTGACTAGTGGACGCCTCAGTGTTTCAGCCTCCTAACAGAGTCTGGCCATTGTTGCACCTTTTTTTTTACAGCTATGAGGCATCACTGGACCACATCATATGTTTTACGTAGACACCCAGAAACTCGAGACTCTGGAGTAGAAGAACAATTTCTGCAAGCGTTGCAAGATATTTTAGAAACTTCCTCTCTAACATTCTGACTTTAGAGCCCTCCTTTATTGGAGCCTGGTTTGTTAGATGGTGTTAATACCTGTTAATATCAAACCATGAGCCTAAAACAAAAAACAAGCCTTGATTTATGTGAACAACTACACCCCTTCAGTCCAATCAAAGGGGTTTGATCGATTTCATTTGTTTCCAKTGATGGCAGCAGATAGTGTCTCTGCAGAGAAAACACCTCCTGAAAAATGTCACATGCAATTAAAAAAAGAGGCAAAAAASCTCAGCCTCTAAATAATTCAGACAATGGAGAGTGACTGGCTCTAACATTTACAGCAGTGCACTTCCTTTTTCATGTGACAAGTTTTTTTATATGCTTGGTGTAAAAAATTTTGAATAATCAAAATTAGCTTTTAAGTCACTTTTTAATTGACAGAACCAGTGGTTAGAGTAGAATTTATACCATAAATTATGTCATATTATAATAATTTACCATCTAGCTGTTTGTGGTAGTCAGTAAGTTCAGATATTAAACAAACGGTTTTTATTTTTCAGTGTTTCTCACTCTAACTGCAGAGATTTACAGTATTTTCACCTTTGAATATACTGGCTGCCTCAATTTTTTTCCTGTATGATTGTATGTCTTGTTAGCAAAAAATCTCATGAACCCAGTACCCAGTACGCACTCAATAAAAAAACTGTTAAATACCCAATAAGGACCAGTTGTGGACCCAGTACATATCCAGTACAAACCAGGTAAATGCACATTAGGGGACAGCTAGTACCAAGTAAAAACCAGTTGTGAACCCAGTTCGTACCCAGTAAGGACCAGTCGTGTACTCAGTAAGGATCAAATATATAATTTTTGTCGTTTGTCAGTTTTAAAACGAATTGGTTTTAATCTGCATTGATGTATTTTTACAATATGTGAATACGAAGATGAAGCCCTGTTCAGGAAATGAGTTATTTACTTTCCTGTCCAAGTGATAAAGAGCAACAAAGAGCAAAGGGAGATATTCTTTCAGGACTTTATTTTAGCTCAGCAGTGGGGACGTTAATAACGGTTCTCCTCGTTTCTTCCCGTCTTCTCTCCAGCACTGCACCATGTGCGAACGGGCACCTGCGAGGTGGTGGCACTGCACCGCTGCTGTAACAAGAACAAAATCGAGGAGCGGTCACAAACCGTGAAGTGCTCCTGCTTTCCGGGACAAGTGGCCGGGACCACCAGAGCCGCCCCGTCGTGTGTAGATGGTACGCTTCAACAACTATCACCAATGCTCGGTGTTTAAATGCACAAATCTAGAGGAATATACTCGATGAGGTCATCRATGAGCAGCCRGTTTGGATGTTATCAGTTCATTAAATGGATGTTACTGGCGGTTATCAGTCCCATAAAATAGCTTCAGACTGTCCCGACTGTGCCTCCTAGTGGGTTACCACTGCCATATACGTTGGAATGCAACAATCTGCTACCGCCGGAGTCCAGTCTACTTTATCTTTAGCCTAGCCCATGTCATTTTCTCTAAAATTAACCTTAGTGGCTTTATGCATCATACCAACCAGCTGACAGTCTGAAGCCATTCTATGGGACTGATTACGGCTAATAACATCCATTTAATGGATGATAACATCCGAAGTGGGTGTCGATGAGTGTATCGATGTATCATAATTTATTCTAATGAAATCMTGTTTTCCTTAAACTTTGAATCTTACTTTTAAACAAAGACGTTATGCTATTAAAGCTTCAAGGATGTGTTGGAGATGACTCTCAGYTAYTACCACATCTAATTTTAGCTTAGTAGTTGTAAAATGTAAGAAATTATAGCCATTTWTATGTTTGCTAACGCTGTTCAGCTGTGACACCCGTCTTTTGAATGGGGTCATTTGTAGCGGTACGTTCACTGATCCGTCCAGTGCTTGATGATATTTTGCTAACAAGAAGACACAGGCCAGACTGCTCACCTTTCATGTGAATGAAGAGAGAAACATCTGGCGGCTGAAATGACAGATGTTTTTGTTTCAGTTGAATAAGTGACATCAGGAAGAGCATCTGTTTTAGCTGATTTGATCAACACGTTCCTGTTTACTTTGAAAAATAAAAAAAGAATCTGAAAGGATCCATCTGCAGCCTGTAAAATCTCAAACACCCACTCCAGTTTCTGTTCACTCGGCTCTTCTTAGAAAAAAAAAAACAGCGGAGGTGGGAATTGATTTTATGTTTGAGTTCTACCAGAACTATTAAAGCTTCACGTTTATGGTCCTGGTAGAAAAGGAGCAGAGGAACCTCCTCTGGCTTCAGCACCACAATTGATTTCTAATTTTACACCATCTATTAAAGCGCATCACTGTCTTTGTTTAGACCTCATTTGTCATTTTGGGAAAACTTCTCGCTGATCAATATTCATTTTTCAACCTGCAAATGAACAAATCCAATCATTATGTGAAACACTGATGTAACAACAATAAGCTGGTTGAATAACGGAGCTGGATTCCCTCAAAGCAACACTAATTTGCTTAAAATGGTTCAGTTTCTGCATCTTCTGAGGTGTTGTGTAAACTGGCCTTTTTGTCATAACACCGATTTTTTTTCTTTACTCTCTTAGCCTGTAAACGCATTCCTAGTATAAAATATATTAAAACAGGTTTGTGAAAAAAAAGGCTTAAAAATGGCAACAAAGTCAGGTTTTTGTTCAGTAATCGGAACAAACTAAACACTACTGGGTTGTTTTGATAACTCTATTGTTGGTGTAAAGCTGTTGGGGCATTGGTTGAGATGACCCAAAGAATGGACCAGAAATGGACTAAATTGGACCCAACTGGACCTCTTCTTTAGGATAAGACCATTAAAGAAGATAATTAACCTGGTTGTGACTTCGGTAACTTTAGTTTGCACTGTCCTGATGCATCTCAGTAATCCAGGTAAAAAAAAATCAAAAAGAAAAAAAATTGTATATTAATTTTTTTCTTTTTAGTTTGCACTAGATGATAAGTTTGGAAACTTTTGGATTAGTTGGTGCTAGCTAGTTGATGCTAAATTGTAATTGTCTAATAATCCAGATTTTAGGTTATTCCCACATAGCAAATTTTGTCTGGCCCAGTTCTGGCCCACACAAGGCACCAACACTATTAACACTCAGCCCAGATATGGCAAAGAAAGACGGCTCGTCGGTGGTCCAGATGTAGTTGGCCAGATGTGGTTCATGAGTGTCACATAAACCATCTACAACCGGGCCAGTTGTGGCATGCCATCTTAAAAAGAGTGCCAATCATTGCCCGACCTGGCCCACATATCGGTTGGAGAACCATTTCCCATGCCAGCAGTTGGCCAGCAGTGCCGACTTGAGACCAGATCTGGCCCACACCTGTCTACTATGAGGGTTTACTGGCAGTCAACTCAAACCCAGTATGGGGTCAAATAATGTAACTAGTAATATTTTCATTTTTAGCGATTTCTAGGCCAACTGATTGTTGAACCTTGAGTTTCTGAGGAGCAGTTTAGTTTTTGACCRGATCTTAGAACAATGGACCAGGTCTTCAACCCTTACAGAGTTCCTATTGGGAGTTTGATCGTACTCTTCTCATGGATCTGGACAAAGTTTACAACTGTGTTTGAGGAATATTATGGGGCGAGGTGGGTGATAACCTAGTGGGATATTTTGGTCTCTTTTAATAAGCTGAGTCTTGGTTTTCTTTATTAAATAGTTAAATTCTCAAACCAGACATGTTCCCCTCCAGAACAMCCTGATACATGAGAAGAGACCTTTTGAAAGTTTATATTGATAATTTCTTTGTTTCAATGGTTTTGATGTGTCATTTTGTGTTGTTTGATGTTTTGATAGTTTTTACACATTAAGTAGCCTGATTGGTTTTTAACCCTAATGGATCACGTTGATAATAAACTGTGTTAGATCCCAGGGTTTATTAAGCCTGAATGTGATGGTGCCCACTGCAGACTGTAAAGTTGATGGCCTAAAAGGTCTCTTAACATGATAATGTGCCAAATCAAGCCCCCCCCCGACTCAGTCAAAGTGGCAGTTTGGCTTTGGTCTGAAAAGCTTGACTTTCTGGCGAAACTCCAGATAGCTCATGTTTGACCTATTCCCTGACATTTTAGTATTGACATTTTCTGCAAATTAGAGTTGTGAGCCACCAGCCTCAGTTTAAAGCTCCTTCGTTGATCTCAGGGAAAAAAATGATAAGCACTTAACCTTTTAATTATTCTTTCTTCTGCAACCGAGGATTACCTTTAGTTCCACTTTGTGAGAGCCGATCTCCTCATATGAGGATAAATGAACCTCCAGACGTCTGAGAAAACTGATTCTTTGGGTGTGTTAAGGGAAAAAAATTGTCAACTTTTCTGAATTTGTCCTAAACTGATGATCTTAAGAGTGCTGAATCCATAAAAACACGACACAGAAAATATGAAAAATAGAAAATCTAAATAATGTTGAAGATGCTATTTTAGTTACTCCATAGAACGTCAGCATGAATCAACTTTCCTCTATAAATCCTATAAAAAATTGGGACTCCTTTGATCTGAAAAAATGTTGATGTTTATAGGCAGGGTTGCACATAAAATTTTTGGTCTGGTTCTCAGGGGAGAACCTAGGGTTGTTGCTTGGTGCTCACTCATATTTTTCCTTCACTCATTTAACACATTTATCTAGAGGGGCGTCAGGTCATCTAATGTCCCCCTGTTCTGTTTTGACTCCTATCAGCTGCAACGTCTCAGGACATCATGTCAAATCAGTCCAACAAGTTTTTTAATTTATACTTTTACTCTGCATAAATTTTGTAAACTATCTAAGTGTCCRAGGGGCTGGGTGTATGTCATATAAACATCACAAACTGAACATTTCATGGTTAAATGTCTTTTAGACTA